CTCTCTCTCTCTCTCTCTCTCTCTCTCAGCATGCATAAATAAATGGAAAGTAAATTATCTATTCATGGGGTGGCCCTAGTTTTGTTAAAATGTCTCTCTTTACATTCAGTTAATCAATTTTAAAAAATTATTTATTTGTTTCTTTTTTTTTTCAGGAGCAGTTCATCGATGGGGAAGACTCTCCAAAGATAAAAACAAAAGAAAAACGAGAAAAATCGTATCCTTTGTACAATGTATGATTGGTCTAAATTGATGGCCATTGTCAATCTTTTCTTCAGTCGTGTTGGTTTTGCATACCTTCAATGTAAATGAATGTCAATTTTACAGAACAGTGATGATTTTCTACTGGTTTTGCCATGGTTCAAAACTTTTACTACCGGTACTTGAGTGTTTCAATCTATTGCAAACAAGTCCAAAATTTGTTTCTTAATTGTAGGTGTCTATTAAAATCATTTACATTCAGCAGCGTGCGTCTTTACTTGAATCACAGTATGAGTTGAGGGTGGGATCAGGAATTGTGAGAACTGTAACTTGTAACTGTTACAAGAATTGTCGTTCTTGCTTGACTGTAAGTTTAGCTCTGTTGGAAAGATATCATAGACATACATATGTGTGTCATGACGCAGTGGAATGAGGCGCTCGTCAATTTTTGGGCTTGTAGAGTTATTGGTATCATCTGAAAGGTTTTTCATTTGTCTTGTTTTCATTGAAAAAAATACTCATCTATCTTGAATAGAAGTCGAGATATTTGCGATTGATGCAAGTGAGGTTGCCTGGTTTCATTGGTAAAAATAGTGAGAAAATGGCTGCCAAAGTTTAGTAACTTCAGTAGCTTGAGAGTCCTTGTCAACTGTAAAAATATATTTTGTGCCCTTTTATTCATTTTTCTGTAAAATTCACATGGAAATGTGTTTTATATGGCTGGACATGAAAGGTGTAGAGCTGAAAAAAAAAATTTGATAAAAATTACCAAAATGGAGGAAAGATGTTCGTTTCAGATTTCATTATTTTGACAAGCACCTGATTTCATCACAATGCCTCACATATAGCTCTACATGTATTGCAGTGTTATGGTGTCATGGACATAATAGATAGCTCACGCCTTTATGTGAGCCCTTTTGTTTTTCCTTGACGTGGGTACCAGGTCCTCAAAGAAACAGAAAAAATGAAGAGCCCTACTTAAGTAGCCAGTTGGAGGATATGGAGTGGGACAAGTTTGTCAGTTGGTCAACTGTCGTCGTCGTTGGACTTCCTCATTGACGCCTGTTGCTGTTTTTGAACAATGTACTGTTTTGTACTTGGCCTGATTATTTACTTACATTGGACACCCCCCACACACACACACTCACACACACACACACTCTTTCCAACACTCAATACTCACACTGATGATGTCACACACTCGCACACACATTCATGCACAAACATACACTCGCACAAAATATGGGCTGTCAGTTTTGTTTAGTGTCAAGGGCCGACGCTGGCAGTGGTTCTGCTGGTTCTCTTTGCACTTGATTGGTTGGAGTGAGAACCTGAAGCTTCTCTTTGTTTCCCTCCTGAATGGCCTTAACGTTTGTGTGTTATTTGTGGCTGTCGAAGTGTTTATGTTTATGTGTGCATGGGATGCGGGTGGGGGAGAGAATGTTGGCTTTTTGAGATTCTCAGTTTCAACTTTGTAGTGAGGAACTAGACTCTGTCACACACTGTGTGTATGTGTGTCCCCGGGTGCATTTATTTGTGTGTGTGTGTGTGTGCATGCACGGATGAATACCCTGGGTAGGTGGGGGGGATCTAACTCCTGATGTGTGGATGTTCTGATACTCGGTGCACATATGGTGTATGGGCAGCTTCTTGGGTGGATGAATCGTCAAATGTGGTGGGTAAATTTGAATGTTCAGGGGTGTTTGTGTCCAACCGACATAGGTCATTGGATGATAGGTCGAGTCTAGTATTTTTTCTTCAACAGCCTGCCTTACAGGAGTAGGTGCTCTCATGTTTTTATGGTCAGTTGTTATGGGTTGCTGTGACTGAGAGCCCTTAAGGAGATTTTGGCTGTTACGAGGTTCGAGCAGAAGTAAAAGAAGCTTTTACACTTTGTAGCTCATTGTTCTTGTCATTTTTATTTCTATGTGTTCTTTTGTTGTTTTTGTTAAGATTACCCATGTCATCAATATTTTTGTGTTAAAATAATTTGTTTTTAAATTTGTGAAGATAACCCATGAGATCAAAATTATTTTTATGGTCTGGTATTTTTTATATATTTTTTTTTTAGGGGGGGGGTTTAAATACAATAACCCATGGAAATAAGAAATTTTTGTTTGTTCCCCTGTGCTTTGTCTGCAAGCTTAAGGTTTAAGAGCTGGGGATAATAATATGTGCTCAGTACATTGTCTGGTCAATGTTGAGAATTCCATAGTGGACTGTCTCAGAACAATGAGTTGTCTCTCTTGTAGTGGCTGGTGGCTAGGACATTTCCCACTGTAATGTTATCCTGGTAGACCTGACATGTGGGTGGTGTAGTTTGTTCCATCATTCTTACTAAATATCTATCATCCTTTTTTCTCCTCCCACTCTGAAGTAACACCTCTAATTTTCTGCACTTACACAATCTATTTGTTGTTGGAAATGCTGTAAAACTGGTACTAAACTGCGACTCTGTCATTAGCCTTGCTGTTGCTGAAGTGATTGATGTACATGATGAAAGTAACTCTTGACTTGTATGTTAAAATCAATGCAGGAGGGAAAGGGATGAATGGTTACGGGTAAATTTTAAAAACTGACCTGTGAATGAGATATATGATTAACTACAGCATGGAGAAAGTAACCTCAGTCTGAAAGTTTTATAAACTTGTTGGTTTGATGCCAGCGATCAGGGATGCCACTTTTCTGCTTTTTCCCGGTATTTCCAATATTTTGATCCTGAACCACTATTCCGTTATTGAGATCAAGATAGAATCTATAGTTGGGAAAAAAAAAAAAGACCCCACACACAACTTGCGCCAAATGTTCAAATAACGGAAAAACGAAGACAGCCATTGCTTATGTTTGTTTGTCATTTCTCTCTATGTACACCCTTTGGGTTTCAAATTGATATTCATATGTTAGTGAGACCGTGGCATGCGGATTTTCAGCTATTTAAAAAAATGTTGAGTGGCATCCCTGAAGCGATGTACTTGTTTCATATTATCTGGCTGTCGAGTTAACGTTTTTGAAAGATACTGTAACCTTTTGTGCACTTGTTTTCTATAATATAAATAAATGTGGGTGCTAGACTTCTTCTCAATGCTTGAGATTGGGTTTTTTGAAGGGATGAGAATGCAAAAAGTTTACAAATTCATTCATTTTAAAAAGTCATTGATATGTTTGCCAATGTTTTCTGTCAAGGTATCAGCAGTGCCACATTGATTCATTAGACATTTGCATTGTAGTGTGATGTAATTTTTCCCTCAGGTGTCATGTTTGGCTCTGCTTTGAATGTGAGAAAACTGGCTCTGATATTCTTAAGTATTAGCCTTATAAGCATGGTTAAGGGCTGTGTACATGATAAAACGTTATAACTTTAACTGCCTTTCCTTTCCTAAGTCCAAGTAAGAGCTGCGCCGCCGCCCCCCCTTTTATTTTTTGAGTAAGTCAAAGTAAGTTGACTTTAGAAAATTTTTTTTAGCGTTGTGAAAATACCATTGTCTACACATTTTTAAGGTTGATTTGTCACTTTCGATGGCATTTGAAAATTTTCTTTTTTTTCTTTTCTTTCCATCTTTCTTTCTTTTTATTTCTAAAAAGGTCATTAGAACTAATAGAACTGAATGTATTGAAAGAGAGAGAGAGAGAGCAACCTTAGACATGTGGAATATCGGTATTGCATTTTGCTGAAGAAACTACTGCTGGACACGCTGCTGTTGTCTGATTTGCTAAAACATGTGGCAGTTATAAGTATCATTGATAAAACAAGTGATGTAGATTGTCTAGAGAGAAAGTCTTTTCCAAAATTGTTTTTATTTTTTCTGAGAATGTACAAAAGTGTCTTGTGTATTTCACTGCCCTTTTTTGTTGTTGTTTTTCCATGGGCCTCCCTACTACTACTACAGATCTGAGCTGATAAATAATAGCTAGAAGTGCTATCCTATAGTACCAGTACATTGTTGGAGACAGGAATGGGAAGATAAAGAGCTGAGCAGTCCTCAGGCCACACATTGCCCTAAAATTGTTCGAGGCTACTACAGTGCATCGTGTGCAGTAACAACATTGAGGAATGTTGGGTGTTTATGTTTTATGGAATTGAGAATGTTGGTTGCAAACTTTCAAACTTACGTGGAGATGGCTGAGGAAGAAATTTTTATGTCACATTGTGTAAATATATGAGTTGACATTTTTGTGCTCATCAAAGTATATCATGAATTGACATGTTTGTGCCGTTGGCTTGTTTTCTTGAAATCTTTGTATCATGCATACTAATGCATTTGTGTTCAATTCAAAATGCCTCTTTTGTTTTAAAGTTTGTTTTGTCCATATTTTCAGGGGGGCATTGGTTGTTTCTCGTTGTTTTCTGTGTCTGTCAAATCTGTGAGAATGTTTCTGCCCTCATCACAGATTACACTAAGTACTAAGCCGTTCGTTCACTTGTTCCTCAGTAGGATGATGAGCATTTAAAATGGTTACATTCTGAAAATGCCTTGTGTCTGCAGGAGAATAATGACTTGAATGAAAACAAAAACAATAAAAATTAAAATGAACTTTTTACTTGGTCTTTGTGTTGTTATGTCCGTCAGTTTTGTTTCAGTGTTGTTAATGAGGGTGGTTGGCGGGTGCTCTGGTGTGGTTTGCTCCTTCTTTCCTATCAAACATCTATTGTCTTTATCTTTCCTCCTTTTATTTTATGTTCGTTACTCTCTTGTAACACGGCTAATCTTCGGCACTTATATGACCTTATAGCGTTGCAAGTGCCATAAAACACTAAAACAAAAAAACAACAGTGTTGTTGACATTTGATTATCAGTGTCTGGTATGGCGGTTTGGAGTTTCGCTGTCGCACTCAGGAGACCAGAGTTCAATTCCTGAGAGGGGAGAACATTTATGGAGTATCTTAGTCTTTCTGCTGGGATGTATCCCTCTCAGCACAGGTCGGGCCTTGCAGGCAGGGCTTGAAGCCTGACCCTTAACTCTTCAAGTGGGGCACACCATCGGTCCGGGCGTGGAACGTTGCAGATACAAACGCGTCGGTCTTTTCCTCCCCGGCAACTGATCAATATTACAATGATAAGCTAGTCTTGATGTAGATATCTATGGAATGAATTGTGCGCTGGTCTATGGAATCAATTAAAGTTGCCGTATGCTATGCTCCACACAGCAACACAACTTTTTGGCAAACAATCGAGATGACACTGGCGTGCATTTGAACGAATTTCTTCTTTTCTTTTGCACAGCTCATAATATGCAAGCATTTTAGGCACCACTTGTGACTTCTCTTTATACATTACTAGCTCAGTGCCTGTAATTTTCTACACAAAACCTCATATTTGCTAAAACGAACATTCGGATTCAACGAGATCTTAGGTCAGGCCCGGCGACCTCGTTGAATCCAAGTTCCACTGTAATACAGTTCAAAGCAGCCAGGGACACAGAGAGCTACATACTATACACCTTAGACTTTTTGCATTGAAATGCAGTATTGTTTCCTCTTGAATCACTACTTTCCTGATAAAATGCAAACTGACTTTCATATTTGCAGACATTTATGATTCGATTACTGCCTCACTGACTGATGTAAAATAATTCCTAGACTTCGTATCGGCATGGGTTTAGATTCTTGTTCGGGGCAGGAAATGCTAAGAATATCTTCCTTGAAAAGAGTTTTAAACCATTTCCGTACACAAAATCGGGTCACAAGTGCCTGTGCTCACTATCGTAACGAAAGTCATGATAACCTCGAGATGGGTTAAATATAATCTAATTTGTGTCGATGGGGGGGGGGGGGGGGGGGACGCTTATGCCTTGTCTGCCTGGTTCGGAAGAGAAGGATAGGAACACCTGAAAAAAATATGAAGTTGGACTTCAACTGTTTTACAGTACCGTTCAGCATTATTGGCACATTTGATAAAATGAGGATTTCAATAAAGAGTTGTCCATCCCACTGACCTGAACAAAACACGTACACAGAGAAGTAAACCATTTGAGAAACAAAAGACTGAAAATTGTCATCCTTCTCTTTACTGTTTCCATGTTAATGAATTATAAAGATGAACACGAATCATAATGATTATTATTAATTAATGTATTGTAATATATTATTAGCTTGAACGACTGTACACTCCTTGACAAAAAACGTGAGCCAAAGCAAAACAGATGACAGTGATTGTGCAATACAAAGACTAGGTGAAACCTGTACTCAAAAGTGTAAAAAAAAAAAACCAACAAGAAAACTATTGAAATGTGAAAAGGACACACATATTATAATCATACATAATGGATCTATGTACATCTTTTCAAACTACACATTGCAGTCAATAGCTCACAAAGGTACATTATTGTGTAACATGAAAGTCATCCTTCAGAAGCATAAGAGAAAACCTCTGTAATAAACATGAGAAACACTATTTTAAAAAACAACTCAAGAGAACAGGGTTCAATACTTGTCTTTTTAATGACACCCCCCAAAAAACCCCACAACAAAACAACCCCCCCCCCCCCAAAGCAAAAGCAAAACAAACACAAAAATGAAATAAAATAAGAACCTGGAAACAAAATGGTTCTGACAAAATGCTATATTTATATAGTGAAAAAAAATAAATCCCAACACATCTGTAAAGTCCAGTCTTCAACAGAAATTCTTGGCCATGACATTTTTACACATTGATAAATATTATGAAGGACACCCTGCAGTCTCTGGCACTTTCTGTCAACTTGACTATAATTACATCAGCTGTCAAAAACTTGGAAGAAGTTGAACAACAACCTCCATAAACTCCCAGTAAGTTTGTAGGGACTCGGTTCAGAATCCTCTTCCACAACTACAATAGTTCTTATGACTTGAACAATGAGCTTCGGCAGGATTCTGTAAGTTGCTTTGGATTCACTTCAGAATCCCCTCCCACTGACGTGA